ACAACCACTGTTGCTTTGCAAAAATAGCAGTGACCCTACTCAGGAGGCCGAGGTGGGAGGATCGCTTGAGGCCAGGAAGTTGAGACCAGCCTGGGCAACAGGGAGATGAGACCCCATCTCTACAAAAACTGTACAAATCTTATTTTAATTTTAAAAAAATGTTTTTTTTTCAATTATCAACTCTCGGGAAGAAGCCCAGGAAAAGAGGAGGTGCTTTGGTCCACCCTCCGAGGCTTGGGGTGGGCAGGAGAACAAGCGTGTCGGCCAGATGTGGCTTCCCTGGGCAGCCAGATAGCCACCCTGTCTCCCGCAGGCTGCCCCCCGGATTACGTGCCTCCAGAGATCTTCCACTTCCACACGCGCTCAGACGTGCGGCTCTACGGCATGATCTACAAGCCCCACGCCTTGCAGCCAGGGAAGAAGCACCCCACCGTCCTCTTTGTTTATGGAGGCCCCCAGGTGGGTGCACACCTGCTCCCCAAGGCCCCCACCCTACCATCCACCTGAAGACTCCCCATCCCCACTCAAGCGCCAGCCATAGAAGGGTCAACCGGAGGAGGCTCCCTGGCCACCTGCCTGGTGCTCCAGCCCATCCCGCCTGCCCTGACTACACAGGGTCCTCGGAGCCCCTCACTCTCCTGCCTCTGTGCCCGTTTGCATGCTCCCCACCCTGCCCGGATGGCCTCCCCTTACCCCTCCACCTGCTGACTCCCCTGTTCCTCTGGGAAGCCCCCTAGCCTCCAGGTTAGAGGTGGCCATAGGCCCTGGGCCCAATTCCTGGAGCAGGGGTCAGGAGCAGGCAGCAGATTGGCAGGTGGACCATCTCAGGCGCACATCTTACCCAGAGCAGCTCTGTTCCCCCAGAGGATACGGGGTGATGTCTGGGGACTTTGTGGTTCATCACCACTGGGAGTTCCCCTGGTCCAGAGTGGCTGCTCAGCACCCCGCAGTGCCCAGGTGGCCCCACCTGAGAGTGAGCCACCCCACTGTCCATCGTGCCAGAGTGGTGGTTCCAGGCAGGACTGGGGCAGTGGCCTTCCCTTCTCCCAAGCAGGGTCCCAAGTGTGGGCCCCTCGCGCCTTGTCACTCCCAGGTGTCCATCCAGAGCCTCCAGGGCACAGGTGCCTTCATTAGGCTCCAAGGTCCCAGCCTGGCCCGACCCAGTCCCCAGCCTGCTGGCATCTCCCCTGCTCAGCCCGTCCTGCCCAGCATCTCCTGCTGTACTGCTGCCCCTCACCTCCCCACAGGTGCAGCTGGTGAATAACTCCTTCAAAGGCATCAAGTACTTGCGGCTCAACACGCTGGCCTCCCTGGGCTACGCCGTGGTCGTGATTGACGGCAGGGGCTCCTGTCAGCGGGGGCTTCGGTTCGAAGGGGCCCTGAAAAACCAAATGGTAATAACTCCTCCCTGTTGCTCTGGGTCCTTCCGGTCTTGGGAAGGGAGCCCTGGGCCGTGTGGGTGTGGGGCGTGGGGGGGCTCTGGAATACCCCCCGCAGAAGGGCACCTCTGGCTGGGGCGACGCAGGCTCAATGAGACGACCTTTTACAACAAAAGGGGACGTATGCTTTGCTGCTCAGCTCTGGGCTGCGCCCTGCAAGGACAGAGGCATCCGTCCATCCTGCCTGGTGCCTGAGCACACAGAACCCAAGAGGCTGCAACCCAGATGCAGCCAGACACCGCAGGCCAGGCCGGGTCCACAGGAAGTCCCCAGGGCGGGGCTGGCCAGGGCCAGTGGCCGTGGAAGTTGTGCTGACAGTGGTGATGACGACGGTGGTGATGGCGACCATCTCAGCCGCTTTGCGCTGCTGGAACAAAGCCCCACAGCCTGGGGATTTATAAAGAATGAAAGTCTCTCAGCTCTGGAGGCTGGGAGGTCCAAGGCCAAGGCAGGGCTGTGTCGGGGAGGGCTGCTGTGTTCCCAGGAGGACGCTTGGTTGGCACACCTTCCAGAGGGGCCCTGTGCTGCCTCCTACACGGCAGAGGGGTTGTGAGGGGCAGAAAAGGTGTGCCCTGCCTCCATCAGGCCCGTTTATAAGGGCCCCTCATCCCATTCACATGAGTGGGCCCCATGGCTCAGTCACTTAAAGGCCGCAGTGGGGATCTCAGCACGGACTTCAGAGGGGACACCAGCATTGAAACCGTGGCAGTGGCGGTGGTGGGGATGTGGCTGGTAGTGACGACGGTGACGGCACCAGCCATTCTTTGTGCCCTTGCACATGCCTGGGCACCCCTGTCTTTTTCTTCCTCGTGCCCTCTGGAAAATGGGTCCTCTTCCTGTTAATGTCCCTGTATTAGGGATGGGCAAACTGAGGCCCTGAGAGTGGACGTGGCTCCCAGAGCCACTCACCTGGGAGGTGGCAGAGCAGGGTGGCTGCTGGATCTGTCCAGCCACCCAGATAGCGGGCAGGGTTGGCAAGGCCTGGAGGGACAGGGGGTTTCCAGTGAGCCACTTTTCATCCAACAAGGAGAGATGCCCTGAAAGGAGCACAGTTGTCACTGCAGGGGAGGGGCACACCGGGAGGAGGCCCCTGAGAGGTGCCCGGCTTCATCCCTCAGGGCCAGGTGGAGATCGAGGACCAGGTGGAGGGCCTGCAGTTCGTGGCGGAGAAGTATGGCTTCATCGACCTGAGCCGAGTTGCCATCCATGGCTGGTCCTACGGGGGCTTCCTCTCGCTCATGGGGCTAATCCACAAGCCCCAGGTGTTCAAGGTGAGTCCCACCCCTGGCCGGCCTCAGCCGCGCCCCTCCCCGCCCCCTTCCCCAACTACGCCGCGTTTGCCCACCGCCCGCGCCACCCGGAGCCCACCCCCCGGGGAGGCGCCTCGGCAGGGGCCTTGCCACGTGGCTGTTTCTCCCCGCAGCAGCCCCACGGGGCCGAGCCCCCCTCCTCATTGCCCGCCACCGCCGACCGCAGGATGGCATCCGGCTGCACAAAACCCCGCCAGCAGCTCTCTGTGGGAGGCTGAGCCCGGGACCCCGGCCTCGGATGGGCAGAGGTGGGGCATGGTGTGCAGAGCGGCGGGGGGGCCCCAGGCCGGCGGCAGTCAGGGCACTGCGGGGCGGCGGCGATGAGGAGGAGGAGGAGGCAGACGGGCAGTGGGACCCGGCCCTCTGCGGCGGCGGGGAGGGGCCGCACCTGCCCGCCTGTGGCACCCTGCCCAACCCCGAGCCACGCACCGTCCACAGGGGCCACGCGGTCTGAGGGCCCCTCCCTTGCCAGTCCCGTGTGCATGAACGCTCCTCACGGGCTCCAGGGCGGCCTCGGGACAGCGGCTGATGCTGGCTCTAGGACCCGACGCCTGTTTCTCTCTCTCTCCCTCTGCCCCCATCTGTCTGCTGTGTCCCTCAGGTGGCCATCGCGGGTGCCCCAGTCACCGTCTGGATGGCCTATGACACAGGGTACACTGAGCGCTACATGGACGTCCCCGAGAACAACCAGCATGGCTATGAGGCGGGTTCCGTGGCCCTGCACGTGGAGAAGCTGCCTAACGAGTAAGGCCACTGCCCTGCCCTGCAGTCCTCCCTGGGGCTTCTGCACCCCGGCACCTGCTGTCTCCATCAGGTGTCTCCTGCCCCAGCCAGCCCCACCCCGGGAGCCTCAGGCCATGCTCCCACCTCTGCCCTGCGCTCCTGTGGTGGTGTCTGCCTGCATGTGCCTCACAGTCCCCTCCTGCCCACCCTCTCTCCTCACTGCACCTTGCAGGAAGGGGCACCTGGGGATGCTTGTCTGGGGAACGAGGCTCCCAGCCCTGCCCTGGGGAAGATGAGGGAATTCGAGTCACTGCTTTTCACAGGCAGGCGTCCCCCACTCCCCTGTGCTGCATCCTGCACGGGGCCCCATCACAGCCTCTGTCTTGTGCTTCTGGACATAGATGTCCACAGGGCCAGGGACCAGCTCAGATGTCCCATTTTGTGCTTTTAACATGGGTCTTATTCTCTGATGGAGAGAAAACAGTGTTCCCATTTTCTGGCACGTCTCCAGAAAATGTTCCCTGGAGTCCCATGCAGTCACCTGGAGGGTTAAAAATCTGCCTGGGCACGGGCCAGGTGCGGTGGCTCACGCCTGTAATCCCAACACTTTGGGAGGCCGAGGCGGGTGGATCACGAGGTCAGGAGATTGAGACCATCCTGGCTAACACAATGAAACCCGATCTCTATTAAAAATACAAAAAATTAGCCGGGCATGGTAGTGGGCGCCTGTAGTCCCGGCTACACAGGAGGATGAGGCAGGAGGATGGCATGACCCCAGGAGGCGGAGCATGCAGTGAGTCAAGATAGTGCCACTGCACTCCAGCCTGGGCAACAGAGCAAGACTCCGACTCAAAAAAAAAAAGAATCTGCCTGGGTAGTTTGGGAGGCCAAGGCAGGAGGATCGCTTAAGGTAGGAGTTCGAGACCAGCCTGGCCAGCATGGTGAAACCCCAGCTCTACAAAAAAACAAAAAATTAGCCAGGTGTGGTGGCACATGCCTGTAATGCCAGCTACTTGGAAGGCTGAGGCAGGAGAATCGCTTGAACCCGGCAGGTGGAGTTTGTAGTGAGCCAACATCACGCCACTGCACTCCAGCCTGGGCGACAGAGAGAAACTGTCTCAAAAACAATAATAATAACAATAGGCCAGGCACGGTGGCTCACATCTGTAATCACAGCACTTTGGGAGGCTGAGGTGGGTGGATCGCTTGAGGTCAGGAGTTCAAGACCAGCCTAACCAACACGGTGAAAACCCGTCTCTACTAAAAGTATAAAAATTAGCCAGGTGTGGTGACACACACCTGTAATCCCAGCTACTCAGGAGGCCGAGGCAGGAGAATCGCTTGAACCTGGAAGGGTAAGGTCGCAGTGAGCTGAGATCACCCCACTGCACTCCAGCCTGGGCAACAGAGCAAGACTCTGTCTCAAAAAATAATAATTTATTGTGGTAAAGTTCACAGAACCTAAAAGTCACCTGAAAGCAGCCCTCGGTGCATTTGCAGTGTTGTGTGGCTGCTCCCTGGCTCCAGAACCTTTCCAGTACTCCAGCGTCAGACCCTGCTCCCATTCCTTAGCAGTCACTCCCCGTCCCAGGACAGCCACCAATCTGTGCTCTGTCTCAATGGGTTTATAAGTTCAGTTAATTTGGATGAATGTAAACTGGAATTTCAACAGTGACGTGTGGCCACTGGCTCCCATATCGGACAGGAAGGGCTAGGGCAGCCGATTCTGGTGAGGCCACATGTTGGCCTCACCAGTAGCCCAGGCCATACTCCAGACTACAGAGAGCAGCAGACCTAGGTGGGTTTTTGTTTTGTTTTTTTGAGAGTCTCACTCTGTTGTTTGGGCTGGAGTGCAATGGCTTAATCTCAGCTCACTGCAACCTCCACCTCCCGGGTTCAAGCAATTCTCGTGCCTCAGCCTCCTGAGTAGCTGGAATTACAGGCATGCACCACCACACTCAGCTAATTTTTGTATCTTTAGTAGAGACAGGGTTTCACCATGTTGCCCAGGCTGGTCTTGATCTCGCTGGCTCAGAAGTGGATCCACCGTGTCCTTGGCCTCCCAAAGTGCATGGGATTACAGGTGTGAGCCACCGTTGCCCAGCATTTTTTTTTTTGTTTTTTTTAATCATAGCTTCGAGTTTTGCACCCTCCAGGGTTCAGGGTTAGGGCAGCTGGACACAGGTGTGCACACACGCCTGGCTAACTTGTTAAATATTTTTGGTAGAGGCAGGTTTTTGCATGTTGCCCAGCTGGTTTCAAACACCTGGATCAAGCATCTACCCGTTTGGCCTCCCAGACTGGGATTACGAGCCATGAGGCATGACCCGGCTGGGGTTTATTTTTTATTTTGTTTTTTCCATTTTAATTTGTGAGAGATGGGTCTTGCTCTGTACAGGCTGGGAGAAGTGCAGTGGTATGGGGGTGCTAGACTTGTAGGAACCTCAAACCTAACTCGGGACTCAAGCGTTCCTCCCACAGCAGCAGCGAGTTTAGGGGTACTAACAGGATCGTACCGCTAACCCCCTGAATGCTTTTATTTATTTCTATTTTTATATTTTTTGGAGACGCAGTCTATGATCTGTCGCCCAGGCTGAGAGTAGCGCCAGTGGCCCGCATCTCAGCACATGACAATCTCTGCAAAAAACAACTCCCAGGATTCAGCAAGATTATCATGACAACCTCAGCCTACCAAGTAGCTGAAATTTTCAGACAAACATGCCAACAATACTGGCTACTTTTTTTATAAAATAATAATTTTTCAAAAGATAGAGAGAAAGAGCTTATCACCATGTTGGCCAGACTGGTCTCAAACTCCTGACCTTGTGATCAGTTCCCTTCCTACCCCGCAGACAATCCCTGGCCTCAGACCCTTACCCCTCTGTTTACTAGGCCCAACCGCCTGCTCATCCTCCATGGCTTCCTGGACGAAAACGTGCACTTTTTCCACACAAACTTCCTCGTCTCCCAACTGATCCGAGCAGGGAAACCTTACCAGCTCCAGGTGGGTGGCCCTTGGGGGCTTCGGCCCCTCCCCGAGCCGAAAGAGCCCTGGAAGTGGGGGGTGGGGCGGGGCGGGGTGGCTTCCCACTGTGATCAGGGGTTCCCTGGGGGATCTGGGGCTCCCAGCCCCCCACCCCACTGCCCCATGCCCCCGCCCTCCCAGCTCCCGGGGCCATTGATGGATCAGTCCTGTCTTGACAGCTCAGGGTTCCGCCTGCCTTCCGTGCTGGGAGCACGGGGTCGGGGGCTGTCACACCCACCCCTGCTCCGGGCCTAATGGAGGGAGGAACCCTTACCGAAATTGCCCCACAGACGGTCTTTATTTGAAACTGAGAAATTGCGTAGAAGAAACCGCTGGGTGCTGAAGGCCCTAGTAGGCTCCTTACTAAGGGGCTGGGGCCAAGCATTCCTTGAGGAGGCAGCAGTGAAGAGTGTTAGAGTGAGTGGAGCCAGTCAGGCTTGGGGGACCGAGCGGGAGGAGAGTGGGGGGAGTGGGTGGAGCCTCGGCAGCAACGTGGGGCTCAGTCTAGGTGGGCGGAGCTTCTGCGCTAAGGGGTGGGCATGGGTTATGGGCGGGGCCTCTGGCGAGGGGGGTGGGGCTTCTGCAGAGGGACGGGGCCTCAGTGTTGCGGTGGGTGGGGCTTCTGCAGTAAATGGTTGGGCTTGGTGTGAGGAAGGGCCTGTGTAGTGAAGAAGGTGAGGCTCGGTCGGGGAGCAGGGCCTCAGTGGTGAGGAGGGTGGGGCTTCCACTGTAGAGATGGGGGGCCTCAGTGAGGAGGGTGGGGCTTCTGCTCTAGAGGGGCGGGGCCTCGGTGGGGGTTGGGCTTCGGCTGGATTTCCATCTGAAGGTGATGGGAGGTGTCCCGGCCCTGTGAGCAGAGTATAGAGTGGGGCGGCTTGCCGTTTGACCCACATTTCTCTGGCTGCTTTGTGGACGGCCTGTGGGGGACAGTGGGACGTGATCCATAGTTGTTCCAGCAGGAGATTCGGGAGGTATCTTGGAGGCAAGAGGGCCAGGTTTTATTATGCCTGTGGACTGCAGACAATTTCTGCTTCCTGGGCGCCTCGGCATGCTTTGTCCGGTGGGGAGCGCCCTGTTGCCTTTCAACAGAGTCGGGAAATGGGGCTGCAGAGCAGGAGGGAGGCAGAGCCGCCTTGTGGTGTGATGAGCTGATCTCTTGGCAGTACCCTCCACCAACACCCTACATCCCAAGCAGCCCCGGGGGTGATGTCAGGCAGGGCTGGAATAGAACTTCAGATGTCTCTTCCCAGCCTGAGACCCGAGCCCACTGCCCTCCCAGGGGCCAGGTAGCTGGGATAGCATTTACTCTTACACCTCGTTTCTGCGTCTTTGAAACGGACATGATAACTCGGCCTCGGAGGCTGCTCGGGCCAAAGTCTGTCAGAAAAGCATTCAGGCCGGGCGCGGTGGTTCACGCCTGTAATTCCAGCACTTTGGGAGGCTGAGGCGGGTGGATCACTTGAGACCAGGAGTTTGAGACCAGCCTGGCCAACATGGCAAAACCCCGTCTCTACTAAAAATACAAAAATTAGTCGAGTGTGGTGGCACACGCCTGTAGTCCCAGCTACTCTGGAGGCTGAGACAGGAGAATCGCTTGAACCTGGGAGGCAGAGGTTGCAGTGAGCCAAGATCGCGCCACTGTACTCCAGCCTGGGCAGCAGAGCAAGACTCCATCTCCAAAAAAAAAAAAGAAAAAAGAAAAGAAAAGCATTCAGCACGCAGGGTGGGCCCCGGGTCCTGTCTCACTGCCTTCCCACAGGAAGTGGAACGTGAGATGAGACAGGCCGTGGGGTGGGCACATGGCATTGTGTGGGACAGATAGAATGCACTTCACCTTCTGTTTCAAAGACCCCAAAACATCTGGACCAGGTGGCTGGTGGCCCCAGGCCCTCTTTGTGCACAAATCACATTTGTCACATGCCGGGCCTTGGGCTTGGTCTGGAAGCTCACTGGGGAGTCAGACAGACCCTCTCTCTGCCCTCTTAGGCCAAGAGGAAAAAGTAACCAGGCAGCTGGGACCCAGAGTGGCATAAAGGCATGGGCACAACATGCGCATATAGCTGGTGGCAAGGGCAGTAGAGTCTGCCCCAGGGAGTGCCAGTGCCTGGGCTGGGGAAGGAGTGGGCCCTTGAGGTGCCTGGGGCAGCAGGACCTGGAAGCTGATCTTGATGTCAGACTGGCAAGTCCTTGCAGAGGTCTAGGTTGGGGATGGTGTCATCAAACTCGTGATTCATTCAGGGATGGATTAAAGAAGGCAAGAGTAGAGGAGGGGAAACCAGTGGGTGGCTTGGTGCATTCCCAGGGTGATGGGCAAGGGTGGGGGCCAGGAGCCTGGAGAGGAGGGTATGGCTCAGAAACCCATCTCACTGGCAGGAGGTGGTGTAGATGGGCCACCTGCCCCTCCTGCCAACCAGTCCCAGAGTTCTTTGTGGAGAACCTGGGGTTATTTTCATGCCTTGGTCCTACCAACCCCTAGGGGGCACTGGGGAGCTATAGGGGTTGTCCATCAGTGCCCCCAGAGCCCTTGTTCGTGGCCAGAGGCAGGACCTGCACCCACTGTGTGGATCCACCCCCGGGCCTGGTGTTGGCTGGGCCAGGTCTCAGGAGCCTGGGGAGTTCCATCGTCTCCCTGCCTGCCTCTTGGCTTGATCCCCCCTTGGGTGCTAAGAGGACCCAGAAAACACTTCACAAATCCTCAGAGACAGCTGTCCTAAGGCCCAGAGCTAGTCACATGCCTTTTGGAAAGTGGAAATGGCGCGAGACCAGGGCACCAGATGTTCCTGAGGCTTGAAGCCTCAGCCACCTCCACAGAGATGAGCTGCTCACACGTCAGCAGGTTTGGGGGAAAGAGGCACACGGTTTCTTCCTAAATCTTTGCTCTGTGCAAGCGCACACTGCAAGGTGTTTGTAAACTTTGTCTTACCAAACCTTCCCAAAGAGTCTGTAAGGTCCGGATTCACCCCATTTTTGAGAGGGGCCCAGAGTGACACTGCAAGTCAACAGCCGAGGTGGGATTCAAACCCAGATCCGTGGGCCTCAGAGCACCTGGGCACTCCTGGATGCCCTGAGCCAGAATAAGGGAGGAGCCTAGGACGAGGGGGGGTCCGGCCACGTCCCCCAGCCCTGCCTCCTGTCTTCCCACAGATCTACCCCAACGAGAGACACAGTATTCGCTGCCCCGAGTCGGGCGAGCACTATGAAGTCACGTTGCTGCACTTTCTACAGGAATACCTCTGAGCCTGCCCGCCCGGAGCCGCCACATCACAGCACAAGTGGCTGCAGCCTCCGCGGGGACCAGGCAGAAGGGACTGAGTGGCCCGCGGGCCCCAATGAGGCACCTTGTCCCGCCCCGCGCTGGCCAGCTCCAAGGAGCCGCTGCCTTCACCGCCCCGACGCCTTTTATCCTTTTTAAAATGCTCCTGGGTTTTATGTCCGCTGCTTCTTGGTTGCCGAGATAGAGAGATGGTGGTCTCGGGCCAGCCCCTCCTCTCCCTGCCTTCTGGGAGGAGGAGGTCACATGCTGATGGGCACTGGAGAGGCCAGAAGAGACTCACAGGAGCGGGCTGCCCTCCGCCCGGGGCTCCCTGTGACCTCTCGGTCCCCTGGCCCAGCCAGCCACCGTCCCCAGCACCCAAGCATGCAATTGCCTGTCCCCCCTGCCAGCCTTCCCTACTTCATGTTTGTGTTTTGTTTGAGGGGATATTTTTCATAATTATTTAAAAGACAGGCCGGGCGCGGTGGCTCACGTCTGTAATCCCAGCACTTTGGGAGGCTGAGGCGGGCGGATCACCTGAGTAGGAGATCGAGACCATCCTGGCTAACCTGGTGCAACCCCGTCTCTGCGTCTCTACTAAAAATACAAAAAATTAGCCGGGCGTGGTGGCTCACGCCTGTAATCCCAGCTACTCGGGAGGCTGAGGCAGGAGAATCGCTTGAACCTAGAAGGCTGAGGTTGCGGTGAGCCGAGATTGCGTCATTGCACTCCAGCCTGGGCAACAAAAGCGAAACTCCGTCTCACAATAAATAAAAAACAAAAGACAGAAAGCAAGGGGTGCCTAAATCGAGACTCGGGGTCCACACCAGGCAGTGGGGTTGCAACCCAGCACCTGGTAGGCTCCATTTCTTCCCAAGCCCGAGCAGAGGGTCATGCGGGCCCCACATGAGGAGCAGCCAGGGCCCACAGGGGGCACCACCTGTGGACAGCCCTCCTGTCCCCAAGCTTTCAGGCAGGCACTGAAACGCACCGAACTTCTACGCTCTGCTGGTCAGTGGCGGCTGTCCCCTCCCCAGCCCAGCCGCCCGGCCACATGTGTCTGCCTGGCCCTACACACCGGGGGTTCCGGGGTTGGGAGCTGAACCATCCCCACCTCAGGGTTATATTTCCTCCTCCCTTTCCCTCCCCGCCAAGAGCTCTGCCGGGGCGGGCAAAAAAAAAGTAAAAAGAAAAGAAAAAAAAGAAAAAAAAAAACAGAAACAAACCACCTCTACATATTATGGAAAGAAAATATTTTTGTCGATTCTTATTCTTTTATAATTATGCGTGGAAGAAGTAGACACATTAAACGATTCCAGATGGAAACATGTCACCTGCCTGAGGTTCCTTCTAAGTCCTGGGGCTCCTGAGTGGGAGGGGCTTCCGGGGGGCAACAGACAAGACACAGCAGAAGGGTACTGCCATCTTCAAGCACTGCGGGGGTGCTGGGGCTGCCTGGGCACCATGCCCTGATCAGACTGACCCAAAGAGGATGGCCCCAGCCACCTGATGAGGGTAGTCCTGTCCTCGCTGGTCTAGGAAGGTCTACCGCTCTCCAGGGACTCAGCTCTGGCTGTCATGTGTGGCCTGGCCTGACCCCCCGGGCCCAAATTGCAGCATCCTCCATGCTGGATCCTCACCTGGCTGACGCCTCCTTTTCTACCTGAGACTCTGCACCCTGAGAACCATGACAAGCCAAGGACCTCCTCACATTGTCCCAACAGCCAAGACACCCAGGGAGACCCTGTTGGCAATGTGTGGGGCATGTGGGCTCCGTTTCTAACAGCAGGGATGGACTGCCCTGCTTGATCCACTTGCTCCATCCTTTGGAAATTTCCACTTAAAAAAAAAAAAAGTGGGCTTAAAAAACATACAAGGCTGAGCGCGGTGGCCCACACCTGTAATCCCAGCACTTTTGGATGCCAAGGTGGGTGGATTCCAGCCTGGGCGACAGAGCAAGACCATGTCTCAAAAAAAAAAAAAAAAGAAAAATCTGATATTCGTGTGATCGAATCTTGTCCTTTAGGTGACAGATTTCATGTCATGATTAGTGGGATCTGTGGAATAATTTGCTCTTTGCTCCTCTGTCACCCAGGCAGGAATGCAGTGGTATAATCACAGCTTACTGCAACCTCGACCTCCTGGGCTCAAGTGATCCTCCCACCTTGGCCTCCCAAAGTGTTGAGAAGTGTTGAGATTACAAGAGCCACTGTGCCCAGCCTTGTTTTCTTTTTCTGGTTTTTTTTTTTTTCTTTTGACACAGGGTTTCACTCTGTCACCCAGGCTGGAGTGCAGTGGTGTGATCTCAGCTCACTGCAACCTCTGCTTCCATGGCTCAAGTGATCCTCTGGCCTCAGCCTCCCAAGTAAGTGGGACTACAGGCACAAGCCATCATGCTCAGCTAATGTTTTTGTATTTTTTATAGGGACGGTGTCTTGCCATCTTGACCAGGCAGTTTTTAAAATCCTGAGCTCAAAGTGATCTGCCTCCCAAAGTACTGGGGCCAGCCTTGTTTTTTCTTTTAATCCTTTTAGTGTGATGATTTGTGGTGGGTGGGGGAAACTTCGGGCTGAAACCCTTCTGGAAAGAACACACACACGCATGCACACACATACACACAACCTGCCTGGGTTCAGCAGCGGACTCCTAACAGCTCACAACTGAAATTCCTTGTTAGCAGCAGAGCTTGGCTATGCATCGGATCCTTCATGGTGACAGGCTGAAAGCCGAACACCGCGGTAAGGTAATGGGAACTCCATCAGTGGAACCGTGCTGTGTCACTCACCTAAGGAGCAGGGCTGCATGTGTGGCCTGGCCTGACCCCCCGGGCCCAAATTGCAGCATCCTCCATGCTGGATCCTCACCTGGCTGACGCCTCCTTTTCTACCTGAGACTCTGCACCCTGAGAACCATGACAAGCCAAGGACCTCCTCACATTGTCCCAACAGCCAAGACACCCAGGGAGACCCTGTTGGCAATGTGTGGGGCATCTGGGCTCCGTTTCTAACAGCAGGGATGGACTGCCCTGCTTGATCCACTTGCTCCATCCTTTGGAAATTTCCACTTAAAAAAAAAAAAAGTGGGCTTAAAAAACATACAAGGCTGAGCGCGGTGGCCCACACCTATAATCCCAGCACTTTTGGATGCCAAGGTGGGTGGATTCCAGCCTGGGCGACAGAGCAAGACCATGTCTCAAAAAAAAAAAAAAAGAAAAATCTGATATTCGTGTGATCGAATCTTGTCCTTTAGGTGACAGATTTCATGTCATGATTAGTGGGATCTGTGGAATAATTTGCTCTTTGCTCCTCTGTCACCCAGGCAGGAATGCAGTGGTATAATCACAGCTTACTGCAACCTCGACCTCCTGGGCTCAAGTGATCCTCCCACCTTGGCCTCCCAAAGTGTTGAGAAGTGTTGAGATTACAAGAGCCACTGTGCCCAGCCTTGTTTTCTTTTTCTGGTTTTTTTTTTTTTCTTTTGACACAGGGTTTCACTCTGTCACCCAGGCTGGAGTGCAGTGGTGTGATCTCAGCTCACTGCAACCTCTGCTTCCATGGCTCAAGTGATCCTCTGGCCTCAGCCTCCCAAGTAAGTGGGACTACAGGCACAAGCCATCATGCTCAGCTAATGTTTTTGTATTTTTTATAGGGACGGTGTCTTGCCATCTTGACCAGGCAGTTTTTAAAATCCTGAGCTCAAAGTGATCTGCCTCCCAAAGTACTGGGGCCAGCCTTGTTTTTTCTTTTAATCCTTTTAGTGTGATGATTTGTGGTGGGTGGGGGAAACTTCGGGCTGAAACCCTTCTGGAAAGAACACACACACGCATGCACACACATACACACAACCTGCCTGGGTTCAGCAGCGGACTCCTAACAGCTCACAACTGAAATTCCTTGTTAGCAGCAGAGCTTGGCTATGCATCGGATCCTTCATGGTGACAGGCTGAAAGCCGAACACCGCGGTAAGGTAATGGGAACTCCATCAGTGGAACCGTGCTGTGTCACTCACCTAAGGAGCAGGGCTGCACTGTGCTTGTCCAGTTTATGGAGACAGTGTGTCTCATGGGTCTGGAACAGACAGCTGCATGGAGGAAGAGATTTGTTTGTTTATTTATTAAGACGAAGTCTTACTCTGTCACCCAGACTGGAGTGCAGTGGCATGATCTCAGCTCACTGTAACCTCTGCCTCCCGGGCTGAAGAGATTCTCCTGTCCCAACCTCCCAAGTAGCTGGGATTACAGGCGCCCACCACTATGCCCAGCTATCTTAAAAAAAAAATATATATATATATATATATAAAATATATATATATAGGAATGGGGTCTCACTATGTTGCCCAGACTGGTCTAGAACTCCTGAGGTCAAGCTATCCACCTACCTTGGCCTCCGGAAGGGTTGGAATTACAGGCATGAACTCCCGTAACGCCTGGCCAAGGAATTTCCTAACGCAAGCAGGTATCCCAATTTAGAACAGGCTGCCACTGCAGAAAGGCAACTGGCTTGGACTTCTGTCATTGGCAGAGGAGTCAGCCTCCCCTGGGATCCTTCTCACCTCCCTGGGGCTCAGCTATGGAGTAGAGTGATTTACTTCCTCGAAGGGTGCATTATAACCCATCTTAGGAGTCATCTCTGACGTTTTCTCTCTGGATTCTGTCTTTTTGCCAGTTGGGAAGAACTGGAAACACCAGTTTAATTCTTGACCCTCCAGACCTGGCCACTGGTGTTTTCTTAAAATGTTAAGGCGTTTGTAATCAAAGAATGACTTCCCTCTCAGTTCCCAAATGACTGACTTCCCAAAACTTGGGCTCTAATGATAGCAACAGCTAGAATATATAATTCTTAGTTGATTCGTCCTGGTGTGGGAACTTCATTCCCTCACTGAATCCTCCCAACAACTCCTTGAGGTAGGGATTATTTTCTTTTTAACTTTTTATTTTTAAATAATTTTAGCCTCCCAAAAAACCTGCAGAAACTGTAGGGTTTCCTAACACGCTTCATCCAACTGCCCCTAATGTGAACATCGTCTGTAACCCTAGGACAAGCCAGTTTATCAAAGCCAGGAAGTGAACACCCACATAATCCTATTAACAAATACACAGGCTGATCGGGCTTGATGGCTGACACCTGTAATCCCAGCACTTTGGGAGGCTAAGGGAGGCGGATCACTTGAGGTCAGGAACTCGAGACCAGCCTGGCCAACATGGTGAAAACCTGTCTCTACCAAAAATACAAAAATTAGCCGGGCGTAGTGGTGCACACCTGTAGTCCCAGCCTCTCGGGAGGCTGAGGCAGGAGAATCACTTGAATCCGGGAGGCGGAGGTTACAAGTGAGTCGAGATCGCGCCACTGCACTCCAGCCTGGGCAACAAGAGGGAAACAAAAGCAAGTATCCTGCTTCTCATCCTACTTTCCCCCCGCTAATTTTGAATATCGATGCACACACATCTTGACTGCAACGATTATGAGAAGTTCGCTTAATGGTGACCTTCGATTTCCCTCACTCCCTGTACATTTCCTAACTGAAAGAGCTGCAGTCAGCCACACAGCTGGTGAGGGATCCTGAGCCCCCGAAACGAACTCCATTACCACCTGAGGGACCCTCCAATGACCGCCCGGTTACGCAGGGTCCCTAGGGGGAGGCAGCCCCTCGGCAAAGTCCTGCCCCCAAGATGGCGGCCCCGGGCGGGGAGCGCCAGGTCACGTGATACAGCCTACGCCGACGTGGCCTCCAGCGGACGCCCCACGTGTCCCTCGCCGCGCCCCGTCCGCCCGCCCTTGCCCTGAGGACCCTTGTCCAACATGGCGGCGCCCAGCGGAGGGTGGCACGGCGTAGGCGCGAGCTTGTGGGCTGCGCTGCTCCTAGGGGCCGTGGCGCTGAGCCCGGCGGAGGCGGTGTCCGAGCCCACGACGGTGGCGTTTGACGTGCGGCCCGGCGGCGTCGTGCATTCCTTCTCCCATAACGTGGGCCCGGGGGTACGTGCCACCGCTGTCCCGGGTATTTCGAGTGCTGGCAGGCCGGGGGAGGGGGCGCGGAGCACTGGGGGCGTGGCCTGAGGAAGGGGCGCGGACCGCGGAGGTGGGTACTGAGGAAGGGGTGCGGTTTGTTAGGGTTGGAGGCTGATTGGTGAGCGCGGCACATTGAGACCGGGGTCACCACTGGGGCAGGACTGAACTCATGGGGAGCTGTGCCTTGTGGGCGCCAGCGGCGTTGAGGGGGCGTGATCACTTGTCACCTGCCTAGAGTGTCCAGGCAGCCCTGCCCTCCAGACGTAGAGGTGGGGAGGGGGCAGTGATGGGAGCGGCAGGAGGCTAAGGGGCATCTGCCCTCCTGGGCCTGAAGGAAGTCAGTAGCTGCAGCTCCGACGAGGGAGGAAGTTCCCCTTCCTTCCGTTGCACAAGATCCCCCCTCACCGAGGAAGTGAGGCCGGGTCTTCAGCCCTGTAAGGGTTATCAGCTTATCAGCAAAGTCTCTTCCCCTCTCAGCCTCCCTTTCCCCGCCTGTAATAATGATATCCTTACTGTTTTTTGACTACTTCATTTTTTCAGACTTACGTGCAGTGGCGGGATCTCGGCTCACTGCAACCTCTGGCTTCTGGGTTCAAGCAATTCTGCCTCAGCCTCCCCAATAGCTGGGATTACAGGCGCGTGCCACCACACCCGGATAATTCTTGTTGTTGTTGTTTTTTGAGATGGAGTCTCACTCTGTCGCCCAGGCTGGAGTGCAGTGGCGTGATCTTGGCTCATTGCAGCCTCTGCCTCCTAAGTTCAAGTGATTCTCCTGCCTCAGCCTCCCGAGTAGCTGGGATTACAGGCATGCACCACCACGCCCAGCTAATTTTTGTATTTTTAGTAGAGAGGGAGTTTAACCATGTTAGCTAGCTGGTCTCGAACTCCTGACCACAGGTGGTCCTCCCAATTTGGCCTCCCAAAGTGATGGGATTACAGGCATGATCCACTGTGCCCGGCCAATTTTCGTGTAAGTAGCAATGGAGTTCCACCATGTTGGCCAGGCTGGTCTTGAACTCCTGATCTCAAGGCGTCTGCCTGCCGTGGCCTCCCAAAGTGCTGGGATTACAGGTATGAACCACCGTGCCAGGCCGGTTTGCTGACTACTTCCTTAAAACTAGGTGTGATGCCAAGTCCTGTATATGTTACGCCCAAGATACGGATGAGAAAATGCTTCAGATAAAAAAGAGAAACAGAGAGAAAATAGAGGCTCAGAAAAGTTTTCACTTGTCCAGGGTCCCCATGTCCCATGGCAAAACCCATCGCTACAAAAATGTGAAAAATTAGCCAAGCGTGGTGGCAAGCGCCTGTAAATCCCAGCTACATGGGAGGCTGAGGCAGGAGAATCGCTTGAACCCGGGAGGCAGAGGTTGCAGTGAACTGAGATCATCCCACTTCAGCCTGGGTGACAGAACAAGACTCTGCCTCAAAAAAAAGAAAAAAGAAAAAAGGAAGAGAAAGGAAAATTAGTTGGGTGTGGTGGTTGCGCACCTATTGTCTCAGTTACTTGAGAGGCTGAGACAGGAGGATCGCTCAAACCTGGGAGTTTGAGGCTGCAGTGAGCTGTGATTACGCCCCTGCACTCCAGCTTAGGTGACAGCAAGACCCCGTCTATTAAACAAAATAAAAATTTCCTTCTATCAGACCTTTCTTTTTCTTTCATTCTCTAGGACAAATATACGTGTATGTTCACTTATGCCTCTCAAGGAGGGACCAATGAGGTGAGTTGTTCAAAATTCCTTCTAGCTTACTGTGACAGTATCTGTTGTTGTATGATGTTCTGTAGCAGACAACAGGGTTGGGTCTCACATACAGCACCTTACACTCATTGAATGATTCTTCCTAAACCAATAAAAAGGGAGAGTATTGACATTAAACAGTGATGACAGATTCTGCTGTCATTATTTCACAGAGCAAGCAAATGTCTGGACAAAAGGAGGGATGGAAGATGGGAGTCTGCCATCCCCATGAGCATCTGTTGGGGTGTTGTATTTTATGTGTAGTGTAACAAGTTATCACAGCTTAGGGGCTTAAAACAGAGCACCCATTTATTATCTCATAGCTTTGTAGGTCAGAAGTCTGGGTCAGCTCAGCTGTGTGCTTCATAAAACCAAACTCGAGGTATCACAGGCCGGGCATGATACCTCATGCCTGTAATCTCAGCATTTTGGGAGGCTGAGGTGGGCAGATCACCTGAGGTCAGAGTTTGAGACCAGCCTGGCCAACATGGCAAAACCCCATCTCTACAAAAAATACAAAAATTAACTGGGTATGGTGGCACACGCCTGTAGTCCCAGCCACTCAGGAGGCTGAGGCAGGAGAATCACTTGAACCCAGCAGGCAGAGGTTACAGTGAGCCAAGATTGTGCCACTGCATTCCAGCCTGGGCAACAGAGTGAGATGAGACTCTCTCAAAAAGTAAATAATAAATAAAGGTATCACAGGCAAGGCATGGTGGCTCATGCCCCGTCTCTAGGAGCATGAAATTAACAGAAAATTTTAAACTTAACTGAATGTGGTGGCGTGCATCTATGGTTCCAGCTACTTGGGAGACTGAGGTGGGAGGATCACTTGAGCCCAGGAGGTCGGGGCTGTAGTGATCCGTGATTGTGCTACTGGGCAACAGAGCAAGACCCTGTCTCAAAAAAAAAAGTCTCTGGTCTGGGAGAAGAATCCTCTCCTTCAAGCTCTTAGTTGACAGAATTCAGTTACTTGTGGTTCGAAGACCAAGGTCCCCATTTCCTTGCTTGCTGTTTTCTCCAGCTGGTGGCAGAAGAGCCAGTAAGAATGATTTGGGCCGGGCACAGTGGCTCATGCCTATAATCCCAGCACTTTGAGAGGCCAAGGCTGGCGAATCACCTGAAGTCAGGAGCTCGAGACCAGCCTGGCCAACATGGTGAAACCCTGTCTCTAGTAAAACTACAAAAATTAGCCAGGCGTGGTGGCACATCCCTATAATCCCAGCACTTTGGGAGGCCGAAGAGGGGCAGATCATCGGGGGTCAGGAGTTCAAGACCAGCCTGGCCAACATGGTAAAACCCCGTCTCTACTAAAAATACAAAAATTAGTCAGGCATGGTGGCACATGCCTGTCATCCCAGCTACTTGGGAGGCTGAGGAAGGAGAATCACTTGAATCCGGGAGGTAGGGGTTGCAGTGAGTCAGGATCACGCCACTGCACTCCAGCCTGGGCAACAGAGGTAGACTCTGTCTCAGAAAAAAAAAGGGTGATTTGAAGCACATGGACACATACGCCACTGCTGCCCTTGAGGGAACTGCAGGGCAGGGAATACAGGCAGCCTCTAGGAGCTGAGAACAGCCTCTGGCTGCCAGCAAGGAAATGAAGACTTCAGTCCCGCAACCGTGAAGAACTGAAATCTGCCACAACCACAAGAGCTTGGAAGAGGACCTTGAGCTACCAATGAGAGCCTAGCCCGGTGAACACCTTGAGACGGGTTTCGCCGTGTTAGCCAGGCTGATCTTGAACTGCTGACCTCAAATGATTGGCCCGCCTCGGCCTCCCGAAGTGCTAGGATTACAGGTGTGAGCCACCGGCGCCCAGCCTCCTAGAGATTTTTCTGTATCCTATGTAAAGAGCTTCAATTGCATGGACATGTGGAATTAATTGACAGCCCCGTACTAATGGATTGAGGGTTACTTCCAACCCAGTCTGTGAATAACCTTGGCCAGGGTTCATTGTACAAGTGCGGTTACATCTGTGGGGAAACCGCCCAGAAGTGGGATTCCTGGGTCCGTTTTCTTAAAAGTAAAACTGGGCCGGGTGCGGTGGCTCACGCCTGTAATCCCAGCACTTTGAGAGGCCAAGGCGGGTGGATCACCTGAGGTCGGGAGTTCAAGACTAGCCTAGCTAACATGGTGAAACCGCATCTCTACTAAAAATACAAAAGTTAGCCAGGCGTGGTGGCACATGCCTGTAATCCCAGCTACTCAGGAGGCTGAGGCAGGAGAATCGCTTGAACCCTCGAGGCAGAGGTTGCGGTGAGCCGAGATCACACCACTGCACTCCAGCCTGGGTGACAGAGCGAGACTCCATCTCAAAAAAAAAAAAAAGTAAAACTATATGTTTTGAGATCTTGGTAGATATATGTTCACTTGTAAGAAATCCTACAGAGAGCTCCAAGTACCCTTTAACCAGGTTCCCCAGTGGTCACATCCTGCAAGATGCTAGTCATTTTAGAGATGGGGGGTCTCACTAGGTTGCCCAGGCTGGTCTTGAACTCCTGGGTTCAAGTGATCATCCCGCCTCGGCCTCCCAAAGTGCTGGGATTACAGGCGTGAGCCACCATGCCCGGCCTGCATTTTCCCTTTTGTTTGTACCTGTTGCAGCTCCACCGACAACTCGGGATAGCCTTGGTTTTCACACCCATATGGTGTGTTAGCAGACAGTGGGCCTTCTGCCCTAGGAGAAAAAGGTATCTCACTGTAGTTCAGCTTGCGTTTCGTTTTTTTTTTTTTTCATAAACAATGTTGGACATACTTTTATATGTTTAAGAGTTGTTCTTAGGCCTGGCGTGGTGACTTACATCTGTAATCTCACCACTTTGGGAGGCCAAGGTAGGAGGATTGCTTGAGGCCAGGAGGTTGAGACCAGTCTGGGCAATATTGGCAAGACAGTGATTCTACAAAACACAGAAATTAGCTGGATGTGGTCCCAGCTACTTGGGAGACTGAGGTGGGAAGATTGCTTGAGCCCAGGAGGTGGAGGTTGCAGTGAGGCGAGATCCTGCCACTGCACCCCAGCCCAAGCCACAGAGAGAGACTCCGTCTCAGAAACAAAAAAACGTTGTTCTTATCTCCCCATCCTTGGGAGCCACTTTGGGGTGGTTCTCATTTGAGGCACCACTTTTATGGGAAGGATGTGGCGCAGGCAGGCTCCCTGATCACAGATGGACAGCAAACCCCAGGCCACCAGGAGGGCGGGGCAGGGGATATAGTGGCAAGCCCCTGAATTGGGAGGTACAGAAGAGGTGGCCTGACTGTAGAATCAGAGGCACACCTGGAACTCTGCGAGAGCCCCTGTGTGTCCGGCGCTGACCCACGCTGTGTTCTCTCCCCAGCAATGGCAGATGAGTCTGGGGACCAGCGAAGACCACCAGCACTTCACCTGCACCATCTGGAGGTGAGGCTTGGGGTGGGGATGGCATCTCCGGCTGCCGTTGGCCTGCCCGCTGGCCCCGGGAGCTGCTTCGGAAGGCAGGGAACGAGAGAGGACAAGGACGGCCAGACAGATGGGGGCGGCGCCCCTGGAGGGGAAGACAGGCCAGCAGGGGGACTCATGCACATGCAGGTGGGGGGTGGCGGGGTCGCTGGGGTGCGACTGCTCCCCAAGGAAGTGCACTGATGCAGAGGCTGAGAAGGTCTGGGGGAGACTAGGGGAGCCTGTGCGGGGCAACGTCCCAGGAAAAGGAGAAGCAGCTCAGAGGGTACGGAGCATCGACCAGGGCCCAGGAAGGCCCCGAGGGGCTCCACCCTCCCCTGAGGGTGACACGAACTCACCAAAGGGCTTTTTGGCAAGTTTTCTTTCTTTCTTTTTTTTTTTTTTTGGCGGGGGGGATGGAGTCTCCATCTGTTGCCCAGGCTGGAGTGCAGTGGTGCGATCTTGGCTCACTGCAACCTCCCCCTCCTGGGTTCAAGCAATTCTTCTCCCTCAGCCTCCTGAGTAGCTGAGTAGGCGTGTGCCACCATGCCTGGCCCTTTTTGGCAATGTTTAAAAATTGAGATAAAATTCCATAAAACACAGCATTTTAAGCTCACAATTCAGCTGCATGTAGTACTTTCTCAGAGGTGTGCAGCCAGACCTCTGCATCCAGAACATTTTCATCCCCTGAAAATAAACTGTTCCCATCAGAGTCATTCCCCTTCCCAGCACATGGCAGCCACGCATCTCCCTCCTGTCTCTATGGATGGGCCTGTCCTGGACATTGCATAGAAATGGGGTCAGACCCTCCCTGTGTGGCCTTTGGTGTCTGGTTTCTCTCACTGAGCGTGACATCCTCAAGGCTTATCCGTGCTGAGGCCTGTGTCAGCCTCGTTTCTTTTCCTGGCTGAGTCCTATTCCATAGGGCTCCCTGCAGGAACCTGTGGAGCTCATATCCCTCTGACTGAAGGAGGCAGACTGAGGCAGGGAGCCCCTCCAGGCACCGACGAGGACGGAGTCGGGGGTAGGGGGTGTGCCCAGATTGAAGCCTGTGCAGAATGAGGATGGGGTGGGTGGAGACAGGATTGGAGGCTGTGTGGAAGGAGGATGGGGTGGGTGGAGAGGGGATTGGAGGCTGTGTGGAAGGAGGATGGGGTGGGTGGAGAGGGGATTGGAGGCTGTGTGGAAGGAGGATGGGGTGGGTGGAGAGGGGATTGGAGGCTGTGTGGAAGGAGGATGGGGTGGGTGGAGAGGGGATTGGAGGCTGTGTGGAAGGAGGATGGGGTGGGTGGAGAGGGGATTGGAGGGTGTGTGGAAGGAGGATGGGGTGGGTGGGGAGGGGATTGGAGGGTGTGTGGAATGAGGATGGGGTGGGTGGAGAGGGGATTGGAGGGTGTGTGGAAGGAGGATAGGCTGGGTGGGGAGGGTAGATTGGAAGCTGTAGAATGAGGACAGGGTGGGTGGGGAGGGCACAGATTGGAGGCTGTGGAATCAGCCAGCTGGGGTGGGAGGAGGAGGGAGATGCTGGGAAGAGTCCTGGTGGAACTGGCGGAGCTGGTGCAGGTCTGGACTGGGGACGAGCTAAGCCAGTGACAGGTGTGGGAGTCTGTGGGGTAATGGCCGTGGAGGTTTGGATGATGCCATCTCCCAGGGAGTGTGTCCCGCCAGAAGGGGCCCCAGCTGGCGCCTGCAGGGACCCCAGCATGACCTCCTGTTTCCCCTCAGGCGTGTCTTTACCAGCATGTTCTCTGAAGGACCAGCCTGATGGCTCGTAGCCTTCTTGGGGTGCAGACATCTGGGAATCACACAAAAGCTGTGCCTCTCTTCCATCTGCCCAAACACACACGCGTGTGGGTCCGCAGCCCCTCCCCAAGTCTCCCCAGGCACTGCCTGGTTCGGCCCCTGCTGCTATCCTCAGTCAGGCTCATGGTTTATGGGCTTATCCAGCTCCACTTGTCCCACTCATTCTCGTAACTCCACTGCCTAAATCCCAGCTTGATCTGGGAAAGGACATGAAGGGAAGGAAGCCATCGGGCCCCTCGTGGGGAGGAGGTCAGGGGCTTCAGGAATCTTGTCCCTTCTTCCCTGATCCTTGGCCCAGAATGTCTCAGGCCAAATGGTGGGTATTTCTTGAGCCATTTATTTTGTGCAGACACTTTGGAGGGAGAAGTCCAAGCTGTAGTTCCACCGCTGTGGTCAGGTTAAAGCACGTTGACAAATAAGAGATGGAGATCAGGGAATGGCGACATTTAATTGAAGGACAGGGTGTGATTTGCTGCCTCGTGTGGGCGTTGTCCCGCCATCCCCTGCAGGGCGCTTTACAAACAGCAGGTGTTCACCCAGTCGTTTCTGGAGAGATTCTTACCCACTCCATGGGACTGGCCGCATCACGGGCAGGCCAAGGCCCCAGGAGGCATCAGCAGGGTCATTGAGAGGAGACAGGCCCCATCAGCCCAGAGAGACCCTGCAGAGGTCACCCTGTAGTCACGGGGAAGCCCACGGTCGCCATTGTCTGTGCAGGCCACTGCCCCGCACGGACCCCTGAGTGCTGGCTCCCCAGAAGGCATCTGGGCAGGCGCAGGCCTGGAGCAGTTGGGATGGTGGCTGGGCTCACCTTGAGCCTGAATCTTCCTGTCCAACCCCCACAAAAGCTCCCCAGGGGCATGCTCAGCCCCAGAGACCTGCCACCCCAGGCCTCCCCATCTCAGACAGTGACTGGATCCTCCCCGACCAGGCCTGTTGGCAGTGCTAGGGCTTAAAGAAGAATCTAGGGGCTCCCTGGATACCCTCGCCCCACCCATGCACGTAGAACCGCAGCCAGGGCTTCCACAGAAATGGCCGCCCTGCTGCTCCTCCATCCCCATCACACTGTCTTCACACCAGAGATGCCATCATCTCCTGCTGTCACCTTCCGGCACCTTCTGCCACTCCAGTTCCTTAGAAGCCCCCGTTAGTAGCCTCCTAGAGACCTGGGCAGATGCTCCTCCCCACTTCCTAGTTAACTCCTGTACTTCCTAGTCAGCGCCCTCTGGGAAGCCTTTACTGTCCTCTCATTGTCCAGCCGTAGCCCCCATCGTAGTACCTGAATTGCTGTCGGCACCCGAGAAGCCATGTGCAGTGAGTGAATGGACATGGGGTCCTGTCCCAGAGCAGCTCCCAGCCCACAGAGGAGGGAGGCATGTCTGTGAATGAGCTGGAAGAACATTCTGGCACAAAGGGGCCAGGCACGGTGGCTCACGCCTCTAATCCCAGCCCTCTGGGAGGCTCAGGCAGGCAGATCACTTGAGGTCAGGGGTTCAGGCCAGCCTGACCAACATGGTGAAATCCCGTTTCTACTAAAAATACCAAAATTAGTCGGGTGTGGTCGTAGGTGCCTGTAATCCCAGCTACAAGGGAGGCTGAGGCAGGAGAATCACTTAAACCAGGAGGCAGAGGCCACAGTGAGTGAGACTGTGCCCTTGCAATCCAGCCTGGGCAACAGAGTGAGACTCCGTCTCCAAAAAAAAACCCAAAACATTCTGACACAAAGGAAAGAGGCTCTGATGTTGAGAGGACCCTCTCCGTCCTTCCTAGTCAGCAGTGTTCGGAAATAGTGTCCATGTTGAGAAGCAGGCATGAGACTTGCTGACCCCAGCCCAGGTCCCTGGTGGGGCTACTTCCAGGGCTCACAGACCCAGACCCAGCAGGCCTGGCCTGACCCCCTCCCCCCCCTTCCTCTGCAGGCCCCAGGGGAAGTCCTATCTGTACTTCACACAGTTCAAGGCAGAGGTGCGAGGCGCCGAAATCGAGTACGCCATGGCCTACGTGAGTATCTTGGGGTGGGGCAGGCTCTGAGTGTGGTTTCTGTGCACTGGGGCAGCTGTGAGATGTCCCGCCACGAGAGGGCTCCGTGGGAACAGGGAGGAGAGGGGACAGCGAATCCTGCAGAGGTGGGGTATGTAATTTGGAGGAACCTGGCACACAGATGCCCCCAGACCAGGAGGCGCCGGGACACGGGGAGGTTGGTAACCTGCTGCTGCTGGCTTCTCTTGTATATGCCAGAAAAGACTTCTCCAGGCCAGGTGCGGTGGCTCAACGCCAGTAATCCCAGCACTTTGGGAGGCTGAGGCAGGAGGATTGCTTGAGGCCAGGAATTTGATACCAGCCTAGGCAACATAGCAAGACCCTATATCTACCAAAAGTTAAAAAAATAGCCAGATGTGTTACTGTGCACCAGTAGTCCCAGCTACTCAGGAGGCCAAGGCAGGAGGATCACTTGAGTCCAGGACTTTGAGGCTGCAGTGAGCTGTGATTGCACTGCTGCATTCCAGCCTGGACAGTAGAGTGAGGCCCTGGCTCAAAAACAAAAAAGTCTCCTCTCCCTCTTTAGTAAAAGCACAAAGCTTTAGTCTGTGCTTCTTTGGAAAGCAAACTGAATCGTTCTAATGATGAGCGTTGAAATGGCCCTGGTAAAGTTTCCACTCGTTCTCTTTCAGTCTAAAGCCGCATTTGAAAGGGAAAGCGATGTCCCCCTGAAAACGGAGGAATTTGAAGTGACCAAAACAGCAGGTATGGAAAGATGGGGATGGAGTAGAGGTGACGACACCCCCATCCAAGGGCGGGCAATCGGGGCGGTTTGGAGAGGAGGGTCGGCCATAGGGGTCCCTGGAGACTGTAGACCAGGCATCCACAAACTGGTTCTGTAAAGGCCACCTCATCAATATCTTCAGCTTTGTGGCACTGTAGGTTCTGTCTGAGCTGCGCCATTGTGGCACAAAACTGATGCAGACAGTATGTCCATGAACAGGTATGGCTGTGTACCACTAGAACTTTATCTTAGCTGGGTGTGGTGGCTCATGCCTGTTATCCCAGCTGCTCAGGAGGCTAAGGTGGGGGATCATTTGAGCCCAGGAGGTCGAGACCAGCTTGGGCAACATAGCTAGCAAGACCCTGTCTCTACAAAAATTTTTTAAATATTACGCTGGGCGCGGTGGCTCACGCCTGTCATCCCAGCACTCTGGGAGACGGAGGTGGGCAGATCACTTGAGGTCAGGAGTTTGAGGAGGATCACTTGAGCCCAGGAGGTTGAGGCTGCATTGAGCTATGATCGCACCACTGGACTCCAGCCTGGGCATCAGAGTAAGACTCTGTCTCAAAAACAATAAACAGGGCTGGGCGTGGTGGCTAACACCTGTAATCCCAGCACTTTGGGAGGCCAGGAGTTCCAGACCAGCCTAGCCAAGGTGGTGAAATCCCATCTCTACTAAAAATACCAAAATTAGCCGGGTATGTTGGCACATGCTTGTAACCCCAGCTAGTCAGAAGGTGGAGACAGGAGAATCGCTTGAACTCAGGAGCCAGAGGTTGCAGTGAGTCGAGACTGTACCACTGCACTCCAGCTTGGGCAACAGAGAAAGACTCTCATCTCAAAAAAATAAATAAAATAAAATAAATAAATGAAATAAAGTAAAAACCATCAGGGCTTTGAAGTTGGGACCGTGGCATGCCGAGGGGAAGCTGCAGGGGTCACTGGGAAACATCAGGGTCCTCCTTTGGTTGCCTGAGCAGCACCAGTGTCCTCAAGCCATGTTCAGCTGCATGGGGCCAGTGCTAAGCAGAAAGAGGAATCGGAGGCACCGAGCTGGGGCAAGGGTGGGAGGCGAGGGAGTGGACAGAGCAGGTAGGGCCAGGAGACTTGGGTGTAGCAGTGGAAGCCAGAGTTCTGACCCTGCTGGAGAAGTGTCATGTGGGCCTCAGACAGGTTCACCCACTGAGCAGGAGGTCTTGCAGCCTGACCCACCCTGCATCCTGTTCAGGCCGGGATCATCTCCTTCCTGGGCTGCTTCTGGCCCCTTTCTGCATCTCTTCTCAACAACATGGCACAAATGACCAGGGTTCTTCCCACCTCAGGTCTTTCTGTGGCTTCCCGCTGCCTGCCACCTCTGTTAGCTCCACCGACCTCACCCTCCACACCACCATTTTCCCGTCTATCACCTGTAAGACTTTCAGAGCCTGGGGCCTTTTCACATGGGAGTCTGCTTTGGAGACTGCTCCCCTTCCCTGCTCAGCCCCCACCGTGGACCCCACCCCAAATCCTCAGGACTTCTGAGAATTTTCAACGTTCAGGGCGCAACCATGTGTTTCTTTCTTGTAGTGGCTCACAGGCCCGGGGCTTTCAAGGCCGAGCTGTCCAAGCTGGTGATTGTAGCCAAGGCATCACGCACTGAGCTGTGACCAACAGCCCTGTTGCGGGCAGCACCTTCTCATCTCTGGTGAAGCTGAAGGGGCCTGTGGCCCTGAAAAGGCCAGCACATCACTGGTTTTCTAGGAGGGACTCTTAAGTTTTCTGCCTGGGCTGACGTTGCCTTGTCCGGAGGGACTTGCAGGGTGGCTGAAGCCCTGGGGCAGAGAACAGAGGCCCCAGGGCCCTCCTGCTTCCCAACAGCTTCCCAGTCCCCGCTTCCTGCTGAGCTCTTCTGGACTCAGGATCACAGATCCGGGGCACAAAGAGGGTGGGGAACACAGGGGCCACACTGGGGAAAGCAGCCATGCTCCCCCCAACCCTCAGAACTGCTTTCCTATGTTTACCCAGGGGACGGACCTCCTTTCAGATGAACTGGGAAGAGATTAAATGTTTTTTCATATTTAAATAAATAAGAACGTTAAAAAGCAACCCCACAGCCTGGGCCCTCCCGGCTGGCCATTGTGCGTCGGGGGCTCAGACGCGGCTGACACTGCCCCATCGAGGGCAGGTGGGTGGTGTCTCTGGGTGGGACTTCTCTGCAGGCATCAAAGCACTGGATCCCAAGGTGGCTGTATGTGAACTTGCCTCCTTCCCCCCTTGGCACTCGCTGTCCCTGGGCCTCCTACATGCTGCACACTCAGGTTCCTGTGCCTGCCAGAGGCCCCAGCCCCGGAGGATGTTGCAAGCCAAACCTGCTCTCTGCAGCCTGTGGGCCGTTGTTTTCCCCTTAAGATGTGGTTTTTTTTTTTTTTTTTTTTTTAAAGACAGAGTTTCAATCTGTCACCCAGGCTGGAGTGCAATGCACCATCATCGCGCCTCACTGCAACGTCTGCCTCCCCAGGTCAGTGATTCTCCTGCCTCAGCCTCCTAAAGGTACCTGGGATTATAGCAACCTGCCACACGCTCAGCTCATTTTTTTGTAATTTTTAGTTGAGACGGGGGTTCCATGTTGCCAGGCTGGTCCTGTGAACTCCTGAACCTCAGTGATCTCCACCTCGCCTCACAAAGTGCCCTGAGATTACAGGTGTGAGCCACTGCCCCTGGCCTTTTTTTTTTTTTTCTTTTATAGATCAGGGTGGTGCTGGGCGCAGTGGGCTCAGGCCTGTAATCCCAGCACTTTGGGAGGCCGAGACGCTGCGTACATGAGGTCAGGAGATCGAGACCATCCTGGCTAACCCCGTGAACCCCGTCTCTACTAAAAATCCAAAAAAACCTAGCCGGGCGAGGTGGCGGGCGCCTGCAGTCCCAGCTACTCGGGAGGCTGAGGCAGGAGAATGGCGTAAACTGTTGGGAGGCGGAGCTTGCAGTGAGCTGAGATCCCGGCCACTGCACTCCAGCCTGGGTGAAGAGCGAGACTCCATCTCAAAAAAAAAAAAAAAAAAAAAAATACAGGGTCTTCCCGTCACCCAGGCTGGAGTGCAGTGGCATAATCACGGCTCACTGCAACCTGCATCTCCTGGGCTCAAGTGATCCTCCCACCTCAGCCTTCCAAGTAGCTGGGACTACAAGCACGCGCCACCATGCCCGGCTAATTTTTGTCTCTTTTTTTGATAGATACGGGGTTTTGCCGTGTTGCTCAGGCTGGTTTTGAACTGGGCTCGAGCAATCCACACCTGCCTCGGCCTTCCAAAGTGCTGGGATTAGAGGCATGAGCCACTGTGGCCAGCCTCCCTTAGTTTTTTGAAGCTGGGTTGCAACACAGTGACTAAAAAACAAAAACAAGCCAGACGTGATGGCTTATGCCTATAAATTCCAGCACTTTGAGAGGCTAAGGCAGGAGAATCACTTGACACTAGGAGTTCAAGACCAGCTTGGGCAACATAGCAAGACCCCCATCTCTACAAAAAAAATAATCATTTTAAAATTAGCCAGGCGTGGTGGCACACACCTGTAATCCCAGCTACTCAGGAGCCTGAGACAGGAGAATTGCTTGAACCCAGGAGTCCAAGGCAGCGGTGAGCCAAGATCGCACCACTGCAGTCCAGCCTGGGTTACAGAGCGACACCCTGTCTCAAAAAAAAGAAAACCAGCCAGCCTTCCCACTGCACACTTGAT